TGTTATATAGTTGCCTAAATTATCCCATCTTATATCATTAGTTGTGTTGATATAATAAAATCATTAGTATCCATAGAATAGTTTAATAAAGTTATTAGTACTACTTTTAGAAAGTCACAACTTACTTTCCTTAAATAGTATTCTTAACTTAAAATTTCTGTGATCTGCAGTTGGACTTGCTTTAAGATGCTGCTTCTCGATCTGTTCTTGTGATTCACATTCAAGTAAATAAAATTTCAGGTTCTATAGGAATTTTAGGCATTAAGTGATTAGGGGGTGGGAAAGTGTTAAATTGGCTATGTAAATTTTTAGATACAAGCATGAGAAACAAAGCAGTATTTTTCACCATGTATTTCTATAGTGTGGTTCTTGTGTGTGCACAGACACAGGCACAGACACAGTTTTTCCATTTGCTATTATGGCAGAGTATTAGGATGTGGTTTTCCTTGTCTGAGATTTGCCATAAGCACTGAGTGATCAGTTTGCTGCTTGGTGCCTTTCTTTTAATGAGGAAATTGGCGCTGTGAAAAACCCACAATTTTAAAACAATTTTAAGATTTATTGAAACTTTTGTAGCTCTTGTAGAGCTACAGAAAAGTGTTCTTATTTTTTATTTCTTTTTTACAAATATTACTAGATGAATGATAAAGGAACTATGATAGACATTCAGCTGCTTAGTGTAATCAAATCAGACCAATCAAATACTTGGATACCACTTCAAAACTGTTTTCACAGGCACTAGTTCACTTTTTTCCACTCTTTTTTTTTTTTTTTTTGCCTTTGCTAGTTGTCATGATACCAGGAGATTCCTAACTGTAAACAGATCAAAACGAAATAAAAATTAGTCATGAAGTAGTTAAATATCTCCATTCCCATGATCTATATCTGAAGAAAAACAAACAGTATTTAATGCGTCTGTGTTCTTGGATCTGTTGGTAATGGTATTTATTTTCATTAAACCACAGGAATCTTGAAGTTTAACTTTTTCCTTTGCGCCTGACTGTATGATGAAAAAGGATGTAGTTCCACACCTATATCCTTCTCAAGTGTAGACTACATTGATGTCATTGTTCCTTAAAGAGACATCAGCAAAACCATAACTTTGCTCAGTTTTATTTTAAAGTGCATTTTGATTAAAATTTAAATTTAGCAAGTGGAAAAGACACTTTCAAGCTTTAAAATTTGCTTTTCCTTTAAGTTAAATTTTTAAAAAAATAAATATTCAGCTCTCATTTTGTGGTGCTGTGTAAAGTTCATTGTAGGAAATCTTCTTTTCCATAAGTCTCTTCAGCTGTCATTTATGAGGGACAAGCTGCATTGGGAAAACTGAGCCACGTGAGGAGCTGTGTGAATTCCCTGATGCTCTTGTTCACCAGCTCTCCTTGTAGGATAATACACAGAGCCTCGGTTTTACTGCTCTGCTCTCCATTCCTGCCTTCTTACTGTGACCATTTGTTGGTTGTTTTCAGGTTTTCCTGACTAAGTTAGTCACATCTTTTCCTATGTTTAGGTGCTATGTGAGGGATGTGGGTATTTCAAGGATTCTCTTAGCCTGTTCTGAGCCCTGCTCAGCTGCCTTCAACATGGTGTTGAGTGTGAGGCAGGATGTTTAAAGAAGAGGGGTGGAGTGGTGGACCTCACTGTCCATTTCCTGCACTGTCTCCCTCACCAGGTCCTAAGTTAGCTGCTGATCTTGCTGGACATGCCTTGGAGAACAGAACTGAGCTGCTTGCTCGGCCAGCTGTTGGCCCTTGGCAAGCTCGGGCACCTGCTGAAGTGCTGCACTGAAGGTGTAGCACTGCTTCTCCTTTCTGTTTAGTCTGCTCTTCTGCAGCCAGAGCTCAATAACCTTGGCTGATGGGCACGAAGGGCCCTGGGGAGGAAAAGATACTGCTCTTTTTCACTCCCAGACGTGGATTGAAGGCACAGTGGGGTTATTAAGGCAAGGTTTAAATTGATCAATTTGAGAAATGCTGCATGTGACAGCAGCAGTCAAATTAATCTTTAAGTTAGACATAATATAGCTGCAGCTCCCACTGTGCAGAAATACCCTTGAATACAGACAGCCGTCGCCTTCTGAAACTTTGTTTTTACATGTTCGAGGAGCTTCCTTTTTTAATGAAAAGACCACCTCTAATGCCTTAAATTGTGATGTAGTTTTCAGTAGCTTTTGAGAGTTATCTGTGTTTGCTTATTTGCTTGCATTAAGAAGGAACAATAAAGCTTCATATCTAGCTTGGGAGTGTGTAGTCGTATGCTGCATCTTGTAGAAAAATGGTGCTTCTTTTGAACAGTTTTTGAGACTTACTTTACAAGTAATAAAGGATAGCAAAACATTTCATGCATGTACAACAGTTTCAGCCTAGCATGTGAGTGAATGTTTTTTGATTTTTTTTTTCTTCTGAAACAGTAATGTTTTCTGAATACTCGTATTCATTATGTCCTCTGAATATATCATTAGCAAACAGAGATGTGAAGTAGCTGTTGAGACTGTTTTATTTTTCTCCTGCCAGCCCTTCCCGTCGGTGTGTAGGGTGGCACACCGGTAGGTGGAGCCCTGTGCCAGCAGCCAGCTTTGAGCAGGCTCGTGGGTGAACCTGCAGCCTCCCTAACCTGAGCGGCTTCTTGAGCATGTATCTCTGACATGTTTTATTCATATAAATGAACACGGGTTTAAAATTAAATGTCTACCATTAGCTGTGCAAGTCAAAGCAGTCACTGTGTGCTGAGATGCTTGGGGACAGCTTTGTAGTGTTCATGATCGGGTGAAATACCCTCATCTGTTCCAGAGTGCTGCAAGGAGACAGCCCACGTGGCTTGCCACGTTTTTCTTAACTTCTGAGCCAACTGAAAGTGTTTAGGCAAATCTTGGTTTAAGACATCGAAAACCTTTGGGAAGCTTTTAAGAAACTTATAAAGCAGATTAAAATACAAGTTTTGGGATTTACTTTTGTATTTTTGTTTTTCATATATGCTAACTGCTGATTTTTTTAAACCCTATATTTGAGTATAGAAGATTGTTGAATAGAGCAGTTCAGAAATTCAAAATCAGCAGTAGCTAATCTTGTGTATTGCCTGTTTTTCACACTATGTGTCCACACCCACAGCCCAGAGCTGTGTTACATGGCTCAACTAAATGATACAGTGGACTGGGTTTGTTGACATTTGTGTTGGCCACTTGTAGAACTGTGAAAAATGTCCAAGTTTTTTGCGGCTTTCTTCAGAAATCAGTTTACCTTATGCAGTTTTGTGTATAGCCAAGTTACTCTAGTGTGAGAACAGTTCTTAAACAGCAAGATCCTAATTTTAAAGGGAGAAAGGAGGAAATTGTTCAAGAGATAATAGGTAGTAAGATTTTGTTCTTGTTGTGGTGGTTTTTACTGGGTTTGTTCCAATAAATCTATGCTTGAAATATCTGAGAGGTTAGTAGTATTCTGTGATTGTAACAGGTATGCCGTTTCTGTTACATATGCCCTGCATTTTTTATTTGAAATTCCAAGTGTCTTAATGTTTACATTTCAAAACAATGGGAAGGGTGTGGGTCCCTAGTGTTTTTGCTCTGACTAATATTTCTGCACAGTAACACTCCTGTACTGTACCTTATATCTCAAAAGAAAAATTAAGTCATTCTCAAAGCCTGAAGATTTGTCTGATGACTATATGAATACTGGGCTAAGTTGCAATCTGAAATAATCTTTGGACATGTGTTTCTACCTGCTGTTCATTATGTGTGTTAAATTAAACTTCAGATGTTGGGGAATGGACTTAAAAGTGAGATTGTGAAAGCAATTTTCAAAAAAAAATTATTCAGTTAGAATTCTGCTGGAATTGTATGAATTTGTTTGCTTTATTTGTTTTAATGGTTTGTAGTCACTTTTGCTTATGGTTTGCAAAAATGAAATTATGGATTTTCCTTCACGTGGCACATGATGGGTGGGGATTTGAGCAACCTGATCTAATGGAAGGTTTCCCTGGCCATGGTAGGGGGTTGGAATAGGCGATCTTCAAGATCCTTTCCAACCCAAACTACACTGTGCTTCATGGTAGCAAGCTGTTACAGTACTCCAGTCATTCAAACCCAATTCTTTGTTGCAGTCTGGAGAGAAAGCTCTTGATAGTATTCCAATTTGTTATTGTTTCAGTGCATTTTTAAAAAACAGACACAAATCACAGCTATAAGCATCTTTGTGCTTTGAAGGGAAAAAAAACCAACCAGTCATGTGTGGGGTTGACCCCAGCCAGCAGCTAAACAACTGCACAGCTGCTTACTTGCTGCTCCCCCCCAGCAGGCTGAGGAGGAAATTAAGGAGTGGAAGAAAACTCACAGTCCAAGACAACAGCAGTTTAATAAGCAAAGGAAAAGGAAGAACAAACCAACCAACTAAAACTAAAAACAACAAAAAACGGAGTCACTTGCCCCCTCTCACCTGCAGTGTACCATGGTCCAGCCAGTCTGAGAGACCTGCTGCATTGCAAGAAAAACTCCATACCCCCTTCTTTGCTTTACTCAGTTTCCATTGCTAAGCATGACATTATATGGTGTGGAATATCCTTTTGGCTGGTTTGAGTCAGCTCTGTCGCCTCACAACTTCTTGCCCATGACCAAGCTACTCTCTGGAGGGACAGAATTGGTGGGAAACAAAAGCCTTCATGCTGTGGAAGCAGTGTACTCAATATTCAGAGTACTGGTCTGGTGTCAGCACTGTTTTGACTATAACCCCGAAACAGCAAATACCATGTATGCAGTTATGAAGGAAGTTAACGACATCCAAACCAGAGTCAGTACAAGTAGTAACATATCTTTTCAGTAGTAAAAATACTCTTTTCTACAATGTGTTATGAAAAGCATTTTGTACATTTCTAGCAGCATCAATGATAGGTAGATGGACATACAGCTTAAATTTGTGAGGGAAGAATTTCTAGGTTTATATAAATACAATTTACTTAAGCAAGTCTCAATTTTAAAAATTCTAATAATAATTTAGAATAAATTTTACTTCTATGCTACAGTGACTTCTCACATATGAATGAAGTTGCAACATACATATTTGGCATTAGTGATGTCTTAAGCCACCATTGTTTTGTTCAACAATGATCATGCCATTGTGTTTTTGTGTTCTTTGAGTTTGATTTAGTTAGTATCAGAGGCAGTGATATTAGCACAAATAGGAAGCTGTAGCAGAATATAAGCATTTGACTTGAGTGTTTATGAAAATAAGCTTTCCCTGCCTCTCAAGAGCATGATTACAAAGTTTAGCTCATGTTCTTGTTAAAGGTATGTTTTCTTTGGAGAGGAGGGAGTTTTTTTCAGAAGTTTGACAGTAAAGCTTTCAGTGAAATACAGGGTAGAGCTGAAAAGACAAAATGTTCAGAAAATTACATTCCAATGAATGTTTGCCTTTAAAAGCAAAAGAAGAGCTTAATAATCTCATATGATGCATGAAATGAGTGGTAAAGTCAACAGAGTGGATATAGTGGTCATTGAAAGGTGAGGGAAGTAAGACAAGCCTTCATTAAACTTGGCCTTTAAATGTTTTTAAAAAACAAAATACAGAAACACCAAGTCTTGCACCTGCCAGTGCATGGAGAACATATTGAAAAGATGACTGATAACCAATGTTTTTCTGTGCTTGATGCATCAGTTGAATTTGTCAATTGCTCTGAAGAAAGTGAAGACCACCTCTGTGTGTTCAGAATTCCTTATGTATCAGCAGCACCTGAGTCCTTTGAGAGATTTTGTATAGTGCCTGAAGCATTCAGCAGGGAAGTGCAGCACATGTTGAATAGCAAAGGTTGTAGTGAGGACTGATGTTTTGGCCGAGGGAAGATGGTAGAAATGTAGAGTTAGCAATTGTGAAAAGCTTTGAGAGATATCAGAGCTTCTTGGCTCTGGTTCTCTCTCAATCCAAAAGATCACAGGAGGTAACTGAAACAGATTAATTTGTAATTCTGATATAAGCATAAGTAATACATTTTTCTGCTGACTGTATAGAGTACCTCAAAGACTTACTAATAGCTGCCTCTAGCATGACATTTTATCCCTGTCACAGTGGTTTTTGTTAAAAGGTCACATTATGTGGGGAAGGAGATTATGGTAACCAAGCCATATAAAGGACTCCTGCAAAACACAGAACAAAATAGTAGCCTGTGCAGAGGTTTGTGATCTTCTGTATTGATGAGCTATTAAACAACTGTTTGCAAAACGTCTCTTGGTCTTCTGAGGTCTGATTGGTTTCTGAGTGCAAATGGGGGACATGTAGCTGCAGTCTTACAAGCAAAACCATTTTGACTGAAGTCCTTGAACTTTTTTAATTACTTTAATTTGTATCTTGGCAGAAGGAGTGGGCAAAGCTGTAATAGTCTGAGTTTAGCTTTTTATTTATCTTTTTATAAGCTCACTAGCTGTAATGGCAAAGCATCTTTCAAAATCTTAACTCTATTCTGTCAGTAAGATACATGTGGTATTGTACTTGCAATCTGGCTCATGCCTAGAAACAGTTTTTCTCCTGGGCCAGTTACAAGTAATTTTGGTGCTCTTGTGTAGCAGTAAAGAGAACTAGCAAAGTAAATTAGTCCAATACTGACATTTATGAGCTAAACAATTTGGACTATTTGTTTTTAGAAATGTGTTACATGAAATTGTAGTTGAAAACCAATTATTCAACTAAGAGGGAAATTCACCAGATAGCTAATGTATCTTAATCTTAGACACACTTCTGACACTTAGCCTTTTCTGAAGGTTGAATGACATTGGTGGTGGTTTCATTCTTACTCCCCTTTGGAGGTGGATTGTATTCCCCTTTGGAGCTGAGGCGTTGTGCTGGCTTCCCTGCTCAGCTTTGCAAATACAGTGTAGTTCAAACTGATGTTACTGCGCTTTATCCACCAATGAGCAGTTTTGCCCATTCCCTGTATCTAAGGTACAGATTCCAGGTGGATGTCACAAAATCATTTTTTTCCATATTCTGTGTACGTAGGACAGATTTGAGTCATTATCATCTCTAGGATAAGGAGATGGTAAAACACCTTAGTTATTCCTACAGGGACTGTTTATGTAGAGGAAGGATAGTCTTGTTTCAGCTGAGATCCTGCCAAAATTTTTGTTGCTTATATGGTTTTTAAATAGCATAAACTACATTCTAAGGATTTTTATCTTTTTTTACATTGTTTGTATGTATGTCTGTGTATGTATGTGTAAAATTAAGTAATGGTTTAAAATTTTTAAGGATTTGGCCAAATTCAAACTAAAAGGCTGCTTGTTTTTTTTTTAATATATCTCTAGCTATGTGTTGCAATACCATTTGACTGTAGATTGTTTGATAATTTTTTTCTTGATTTTCAAAAGCTATTAAGGAATGCCTGTACCTATTTTTGTATAAAATCCGCTTTGATAACAGATAAACGGTTTGATATTTCTACAGATGAAAGTCTGTGTACAAATAGTGTTTAGATAAGATGCTTTAATCTCTTATTGTGCATATTTTATAATTTTAATTCAGGAAGTTAGAGTAATTTTTTTGTGTATACTTTTGTGACTGGTTGTAAATTAATCACAGAAGTACAGTGTCAGCATGAATTAATTATGCAAGTTAAGCAAATGGCTATTTCATTATTTTATTGAAATGCCAAGAGTTTGAGGAGGTCTTTTGTCTTAATAGATTAGCCAGAATTCATTGGGAAAAGACTTAGTATGTTTAAGGTAATGGGAAAATACTGCTTTCAGTACATCCTACAGAGATCCTGTTTAAAACAGATGACAGTCTGTCACGTTCAGTAGCACATCAGTCATCAGATTTATTCTAATTCCTTAAGCTGAACATTTCATTCAAGCCTGTAGATTGTCTTGTCAAGCTACCAAAAGCCTCAGAGCTTTTCTGTCAAGCATAGAGTTGCACCAGCAGTTCACAAATAAATGCTAAGCTGCAAAAATACTGTTTATTTTCTTTAACCTTTTATTCAGTTAACTACACTATTCTTTAGTGTTATTTTCTCCACATGTGTTTATCACAAGGTATTCGAGGGACTGCTTCCTAAACATGCCTCATCCTGACCACAGCCACTTCAGACCAAGGACCACTCGTTTTGGGGCATGTTGTTTTTACTTGTAGCAGTCTAGACCACCGTGGTTATCACATTCCTCCCCTAATCACAAAGGTGAGCAGCTTCATTTGCTGCAGACGTGAAGGAATCCCACTGCTGCTGCACCACTGACTGCGGTCACTGTGGCTTTGTGCAGAGTGCCTGTGGACTTCTTATCCTATATGGAAACTGACACTTGTGCTGTCAGCCCAAATAGCCAGAACATTCTTTATATTTATTCATCATAATCTTTCTAGGGTGTTTTCTCATGCTGTATTTTGTATGTCTGTGTCTTTTTTTTTTTTTTTTTTCATTTCCCAGCCATCTCTAATTCTGAGCTTTTTGCTTTAAATAAAGTCTTCTCTGTAAATCATAGCACTTGCTTATGAAGTCTACTTAAGCCTTGCATGGTGGTGAGAACTTGACTTGAGACATACTTCCTTTGAAGTCAACATATGTATGTCTGAGGTAGTAAAACATTGAGGATGGTTAGTTGAAGTTAATTAATTGAATTAAGAAAAGAAAGTAAACTATTAGATTGGTGCATTTGTATAAATAGCATTTAAGGCCAAAAAATTACTTGTTAAGTACTGAAAGCCTCGTGTCCAGGTAAGACTAATCTCTATATTAAATTGCTAATGCTATAGCATTCAGTATAAAGTTGTGACTGCCCTTTAATAGGAAAAATACTTTCTTGGTTGTATCTTTTAGCTATTAAAAAATTAAATCTAAGCGGTCTGTTAATAATTTTCCAGAATCAACAATTTCAGAACTCTACTTTTTATTTCTAATTCTTCACTGTAACTTGTGATTTCTTCTAATATATGTTTTTTCCTGTAATTTACATGCAATGCTAAATGTTCTTTCTTAATCTGGTGTTTTTCTTTGTTTTAAAGCCCTGCTCTTTTTAATACGTTTTCTTGGTCTGTTAAATGGCCAATGTGTTCTTTTAGCAGGCTTATTCCTGGAATGGATATTCTGAAAGACATATTATACATGTCTAAAAAGGAACTGTGGGGTTGAAGCCCTAGATAAAATTAAAGCCTGAGTATATAAAAAAAAGATTGTTAAAATGTCAAGATAATGAAAAGTCAGAAAATAAATTATACCTATTATTAATTTTGAATTGTATTCAAACATAGAAATATGTATCATGGACAAAAGCTGATTACAGAGAGATAAAATTCAATTTTACACTAGGATAATTGTTTTATGTATTTTACATTTATTTATAAGATCAGATAAAGGCCTGGAATTCTCAATATAAATCACAGTATGGTCCTGATGAATGCCAAGGTCAGTAAAAGGAAACCCCTTCACTTGAAAAACACATTGCTACTGCAGAAAATGCAAGGTGAATAAAATGAAACTGATAAGCACCATCTTTTCTATTATACATTCTTTACTTGCATTATAATGTTAGAGCTTAGAGTAGTTTTGGTTTTTCAAAGGAGTGAATAGGTATCAATGCTCTCAGCATCTTCCCATATATTATCTGGAGCCAAATTAACATACCTTTGCTAAGTAGAGATTAATGCAAAACTTACTTGAGGTCTATGAGTGAGAATGGAACTGTTGTCACAGTAACAGTGAAATTAGATTGGCCCTATTTAAACATTCTTGCATGTGCTGGAGATGTAGTTGATGGATCCAAATGTTACATAGATGGTGAAGCCCGTAATTTAAGAGTACATTTTTGTAATAAATTACGTTCTATAAGGAAGGCTTATTTTATCCAGAGTCAAATCTCCAGTATGTCTTCAAGAGAAGGAAATTCAACTATTTTTCAGACTTGACAGGACAATAAAATGGATTCTGGATTCTCACAGAAGTGACCCTCTGTTGGGTACCTCAGCTGAGCATCTGAGTCGGTTTGAATTAAAGAAGAAGACACCCTCTCAGTAACTGAATTTGAAGTCATAATTTGAAACACATACATAGTGAACTGAAATGGCTGCCATTCATCTTATCACACACATGGCAATAAATAAGCTGTAGTGTTCAGTGATGGGTATTCATATGTAGTGTATTGGAGCTTTTGAGTCCTTGGACAGTAAAAACCAGAGTTCTTTACATGGCATCTGCTTCACAAAAAAAGTGTCAGGTAGACCTGATGAGTATTTCATTAAGCTGGACATTTTTCACAAGTGTTGGCTTCCAAAACATCTCTTCATCAGCTGCCTTTATTCTGCAGCAAGGAGTTCTGCACTTACTGCTTTTTACAGAGTCCAGCTTTTTCGGGCTTCTGTCAAAGTACCAGTGTCACTGAGGTCAGGAATTTGTGCTGTTACCCGAGTTAGATCACGCCAGAGAGTTGTGGCAATGATTAGTGACTCTGCATCTATAGGGTGAGGAACTGGTGTCACTGAGCAGCTCTTCTAGAGAAGTTCTGGGATTACAAATGGTCTTTTGTTTTCTTCTAAATTGTAAGGTTTTTATAAGCTTGTAACTTGTTCTGCTTCAGCAAAGAAAGGGCCAGTGCTGCAGGATCATAATCTGATCTTTGATTTCTTAGGTAGGATTCAGGGTAAATGGTTTTGCATGCCAAGTGGGTTAACAACTATGGAGTTCTAGTATAGTGCTTGGTAAGCTTCTGCACAGGCAATAGCTCAGCAGCTTTCGTCTGCTGGGCTGGTGATGAGATTGCTGAGGTCTGCTTCCATGTAATCAGGCTTTCTTTCCAAATGCTGAAAATTGACTAGACTGCAGAAGTACAGATACAGAAATTCGGCTACCTGTGAGAATAGATTCACCTTCCATTTTTTGATACAATTGGATTTCTTTCAGGATCGTCATGAGGCCATTCCTGATTCAATACAATTGTGAAAGGGCAGTAATGGACACTGTCCACCTGTTTGTTCATGTATTCTGAAATACAGAGGAATGAAGCATCCATGAAGGAATCCTCTGTATAAAGGTTATGGATTAGGGTGTGATGGGTGTTTCCAGAAACTGTTATTGTGAGATGTACAGTCAACCAGTTAAGGCTGTTTAAGATAGTTTTCTGCACAACAGCAGCATAAATGTAGGGTGATATAAATATACCTGGGAGCAATTTTGAGCTTCTTGCTTTATGGACTCAGAATTTGATGGTAGCAAGAATAAACAGAGTTGTGGGGTGTAACACTTTGCACAATGTACTGAAGGTGACTGCTGTGCAGGTGTACAAGGTAACTCTAATTAAAACAGTTTCCCCTTGAAATGTAATTTTGTTCCTCCTCTTCACTATCCAGTGGTAGACTAATATTTGTCTCCGGAATGTTTTTCCAGGATCTGAAGTGGAATTACAGTATCTGAAGGTTACTAAATATTAGGCAAAAATTATAATTCTCTTCATAGTTTAAAAGTATCTTTCATATTTCAAAAACCCTCCTGGATGTACAATTCTTTTGGCAAACATTCACTGTCTTGCACTAGAGAGAAAACTTACTATAAATAGCATAGGCTACTTTCATAGTGAGGTTCCCCTCCAGTTGTATCCAAATTTACCTAAAAAGTTAACAACTAAAAAGAAAAAATCAAACTAGGTATTTTATTGAGAACCCATTTAGTGTTACATATGACACTTTCATTCCAATAATACAGCCATTCAGGTCATTAGAAAGGTTGGGGAAATCAAGAATTATCTGTACTTCTTCAGCTCTTAAAAATTCTACATGTAATAAAAACCAGCGATGGATTTTTTTAAACTGTAATCTCATAGAATATAATTATGTATGAAAGTGTCACTGTTTAGTAATGCCAGAATTGCACTGTAAATAAAAATTTTGTTCCGCTTGCCATAGAAATTCATTCACGTTAATGTTAAACTCCATTTATAAAGAAGTTCATAAAAATTATCAGATGTGATCCAAAATGTTTTGAAAAAAACCTTTAGCTCATCTGATTAAAGAAAAAATGTGATCAGAGCATGAGTTTGCTCGTTATGGGGTCTCTGCACTTCACAAATGTCTTGAGAAACAGGTTTTTAGGGAGGTATCTATTAATAGATGTGAGTGTAGGTATATTTTTTTTCGATCTGTCCTGAAAGCACTGTGGAAAACCTTCTAAATACTGAACTGCCTTTTCCTAAGTTCAGTTTATATAGTATCTTTGATAAAAAAAAAAAAAAATAATCTTACATCTCAGTAAAGTTCAGTGTGGTGAGTAAATTAAATTGAATTCACTTAACTCTTTTCAGGCAGACAGCAAGTTATAGCAAAACCAGCAACTTTTCCACAACTCTTCCTTTCCCAAACCAGACTGTTCAGCAGATGCACAGTCCAGCTGAACAACTGAGTACTGTGGAATACCTTCTTTGGATAAGCAGAAATATGAACAGAAATAACTGATTAGATACCGTAGCTTTAAAGCCTGCAAGAAATTAAAAGACTGTGTTGAAGACCACTGAGAGCAGTGTCAAAGGGTCATAACTTATACCAGAAAAATTATGCCTTTTTTTTTCTTTAAATTTAAGTCTGAATGTGTTAAGATTTGCCTTTGACAGTAAGGAGCTATGAAAGCACAACACTAAAAAAAGTTGCTTTTATTTATAATGAATTCTAGGAAATATTTCAGAAGACTTTATTCTTTCCTTGCAGTTGGACTGTGAAATAGGAAGTTATTTAGGAGTTTTCTTAGTGTTATTATTAGTCACAGATGCCCAACTAGTGCACATACCTAACTTTGTCAGGTGCTCCTTCAGCATGAAAGGGGAGATAAAACTGTGGAGCCTGCAAGTCTTGCAACTTCACAATGTCCGGGAATGTCTTCAGAATTATACTGAGTATTTGAACTGTTGGCCAAATTTTCCCTTTTTTAAATCTTGCATTTTATCTACACTTCTATAGTTATAAAATCTTGGTGTTTTTTTTTTTTTTTTAAATCTTTTAGTGATGTCAAGCAGTGAAATACATAACTACAACATCTGACAAACAAGCCTCAAAATATTCAGCACAATTATGTGCAAGAGAAAGCAGCCATCAAAATAAGCCTGGGTTTCAGAAGTACTAAGGAAAGGTTTTTCTTCCTTCATCTAGTAAGTGGATTTAGAACTCCTTTGCTCCACCCAGGAATAACTGAACTGGGGCCAATAT